GAGTCGCGTCGATGAGAGTAGATGGCCAGAAACCTCTCGTAGGTGTAGGGTCGCGGCTCGCCATGGGCATCAAAGGTGTCGACGCCGGTTCCCCGCAGCATGCCTTGAAGGTGCTGTGAGGGCGGACCGATGAGGGGATGCTCTGGCGTGCCGAAAATGCCGTGGGTGGTAACTTCAAGCTCGAGCTGCGACATCCCTTCCTCTGGGGGCGCGTGGCGCTCTGCTTCAGCGATGGCGGCGAGTCCGCGGCCGGCAATCGCGCTCGTTGATGTCGTTGGCGTGTAACAATCCCTGCAGATGCCATCTGGATCGGGGTTGTGTAACGCCGTTTCGCGTGGGTGGGGATGATGCGGCACCCACGGTCTGCCGTCAGGGTGCTTCCAGTCCCTGCGATGGATGTGCTCGAAGCGCAGTGGCACGAGATCAATCAACTCGTGCGAGTCGCCGCTGCAGTCGGGAATGTCGAAATCTAGGACATACACTCCATTTTCGGAGTGCGCTCGTCCGATCTGCCTACGGGGAAATGTGTGCGATTCGTAGTGCAGCAGGATGTCTCGCGTCTCGCGATCCGTGCTGAGGTCGACGCCGCAGTCCATAAGCTGTGCGGCGGACAGGAGGTTGAAGCGCAGGTTCTGGACGATCAGCACATCGTTAAGCGTGATGTGCGTGCGGCTTCCACGTGCTTTGAGCACGACAATGCCTTGTGCGCTTGCGCGCAGGCGCGTGTTGTTCGCCACAATGACGTAAGTGACTGTAGGGGTGGGGACGGCGTTGGATATGTAACGCTCGGAGCCCACCATATGCTGGCCGCAGCAGCTGTCCAGGTACCAGGTGTTGTAGCGCTTGTTGTCGTCACGTGCGAGCAGCGCCAATCGCGGTGTGACGATGTGCGGGGTATCGAACTTCAGAAATTGCTCGCGCGAGAGCCAATCAAGTGGCGCCACCCGCATGTCTGGTATGTGCGGGGGACTTTCAAGCAGCGGGACTGGGAGGTTCCAGTCCTGGTCGTCGTCGTCGTTGAAGTCGCGGCGCGGGCTGAACGGGTTGTTATTGGTGAACGCGCCGATGGGGTGCGGTGCTGGCTCAGGTGAGGGTGAGCGAACACGGCGACGACGTGACTCGCCTATCATGGCCATGTTGCTCATAACGTTGCGCGTAGGGGCAGTTGATGGCTGCTGCTGCTGATGCTGAACGGTTGAGTTCAGATTGCGCGCGGGTGGGGGTTGATACCCTTGGGCTGGACGCACGTCGCCTCGTGCGTCTTGTCGGCCGGACCAGTTGCTCGGATTGGTCTGGCGAGGGCGAGATCGGAACTTACATCGATCCGCCAAATGCCCGAAGTTTCTGCAGATTTTGCAGTAGAGGCGCCGCGGTCGTCGCTCTTCGTTGTTGTCGGCGTAGAAGGCGAGCCGTTCACGTTCTCGTCGTGGCGCTGGTCGCTGCTGATCCATATCCCGTTGTTCGACGAGAAGGGCGGCGCAAAGGGCGGCCTCCGAGATGACCCCCTGCTGTCGGAGGAGCTCCTTGCAGGGCCGCCACTCTGGGCCAAGCCCTTGAAGCACAATGTTCACGAAGATTTCCTCGGAAATCGAGCTTCCCAACTTCACGATTTGATCGCGAAGGCTCCGACAGCGGTTGATGTAGCTGTTGACCTTCTCCTCTGAGGTAATCTTAGTTTCCAGCAGTTGCTGGAGTAGTCGGCTCGAGGAGACGGAGTCCTTGGGCTGATACACGCCGTTCAGGTGGCGCCAAGCGTCGAGGGCTGGGGCAGCCGATGTCTTGTATGAACGAATGTTCAGCTGCTCCGCCGGCGACATGTTACGCAGAAGAATCCCGTACGCCATCAGGGACTCGTTATAATAGCGAGTCCTTGCGTCGTCGGTGTCCTCAGCAGGTCCCGAGTAGCTCCCGTTGAAATAATGATAAATCTGCGCGTTTTGCAGCAGCAGCTCCAGCTCGAAGCTCCAGGTGTAAAAGTCTCTGCCGTCAAAGCACACACTTGTCTTTATTTTTTATATGCTCAAAAACCTTGATTGCGCGGAGAGAATTGCTTCATTGCTGGGACAGGGAGTCTTGGGGGTTGAGCCGTTCGTATCTAGGGAGAAGCCTTGCGGGGCGGAGTTTTGGCCGTTTGGGGCCGGTTGAGTGGGTTGGGAAGAAGTTCCCGCATCGCCATTCCGCAATGTCTGGAGCCCTTGCTCCAGGCTCGTGAGTCGCTGAAGCAGTTGTGCGAGGACGGCGGAAGGAATCGTCGTCGTTTCCTCGTTTGTCGCAGCCGGGTTGGGCTGCGCTTCAGCCGTCAGATTCGTCTGACCTCCAGATCCTCCGGCCATTCTTACACGTGATCGTGTGCCGGACGCCACTTTCCGAATGTCGCAGATTTCGGAGATGGCGGTGCGAAGGATTCCTGAGTCGCTCTCATACCATGCTGCGATCAGAAGTTGATCGTGGCCTAGGATCTACTCAGGAAGGTTCGCATGCAGAGAAGTGATGTTGGTGGGCCCTTGACCTCAATAGCAGAGTGAATGTAAAATGCTTTGAGATGAAATAAAACATGCAAATACAGCAAATATAAATATGAGTACAGGGGAGATGAAACGACCTAGCTAGCCATGTACTATAAGGGGTACATTCCCTTATTCAAATACATTCCCAACCGTGCGGCGCGAACAGTTACGAAACTGTTCCCGCCGAAGCCATCCTGCCTGCAGCTGCCTGATGCTGTCTGCTCCGACGGTTCAGATGCGTCCCAACTGTCTGACGCTTCGAGTCGTTTCCAACCGTCTGACGCTTCTCGTTCATTCGCGATACTGCGTGCTTCTCTTTGCTGCGGTGAGGAGTGCACAGTAATATTCAAGTATTACTATTCGTAACAGGACGTATTGAAAAGCTTGAGGCAGTTGAGACTACATTCTGTAATGCCTCCTTTCAGGCCCCCCAGAAGTCCACTGATTACTGATTACCGGTATTTTCTTTTACTGTACCGGTACCATTCTTTTGTGGTTCACCCTTTGCACCGCTTGGAACCGCTCGCTACTGACCCGCCTCAATACCAAGGCTGCTTCACATTCCCTTGACGTTCCTCGTGAATTTCGTGCATTTAGGGCGTGTTACATTTTCTAACAGTGGCTAAAATCCGGACAACCGTCCGAGAACGGTTCAGATTCTGAATCTCGGGCAGTCCGGGTCCAGCTTCCAGACTAAACCTCGTCCGACGTTGTTTATGAAACATTTTCAACCTGACGAAATTCAGAGTGTTCGCTAGGTTGTAACCATGATCACGACGAGATTGCGACAAAGGTAACACTCAAGCGACTGAAAGACTCGAATCGTAGACCAATAAAAATGCTTTACTGTTACGTCCGTCCACTTATCGAACTGTAATCGTCCGGTCGAGTTGGGAAGGCAATTCACGCAAAATGTTCCATCATCGGTCCGATCGTTAACGACGTCGCAAGTGGTCTAGCGAGGAAACTGACGAAGATAAACGACAACGGTAACCTCTAAAAAGTCCGGACGACGCTTCCGGACGGGCTGAAGTAAAAAATGTAACACGCCCTTATTTTGATGAAGCAGCTCCTTCAGCGTTCGATTAGCCATTATCACTTGAACAGCACGACATGACGCATGGTGATCACTTTTCTCGATTCTCTGACGACCTTCTCGGCTCAATCCTTCTTCTCGCCGCGTCTGCGACAACCACCAGATTCGACGGCCACGATTCTGACTCTAGTAACGAGGACATTCTTCGAGAGGCGATCGACAACGCATTGTACGAGACTCTGCCTTCGGAGAGCACGTGGATTGACACCACGCGTGATGCGCGTGTGGTTACCGCATCCTCGCTCGTCGCCTTTCGCCACGCTCTGGTCTGCAAGCGATGGCTGCGCGTCGCCAGATCCGTGCATCCCGCCATCGTCGTGCCTTACGATCGTTTTTTTTCATCCCAAACTCTCGCGTCGCTCCTCACCTCACCCACCTCGGGATTCCCGAACCTTCGCCACCTGCATCTCGGCGAATTCGCGACGGACGTCGTAGATCGCGACCTCGTGCGGTCCATCTGCGACGGATGCGGCTTGTCCCTGACGCATCTCACGATGTTCCTGTACGATCGACGGCAGGCGACGCCGGTGCCGGAAGGTGAAAGCAGAAGCGCGGCGCGGAACGGCGTTGCGGCGATATCGCAGTCTGATGTCGACCGAATCTTCAATTCCTGCACGCGATTGGTCAATTTGGATCTACGGCTGGCGGACGGCGTTCCTACGCTGCCGCCTTCCATCAGCCGCCTGCAGCAGCTCACGCGGCTGAGCACGAAAACCAGCTACAGCGTAACCTGGTTACCAACGGAACTCGCGTGCTTGCTGCGATTGAAGCGGTTAGAGCTTATGTCGGGGTCTCTTGAAGCATTGCCAGATTCCTTTTGCGATCTGAAGGCTCTGGAGTATTTGGAGATTCAGAGATCCCCTGTGTCCCACCTGCCCGAAGACTTCGGGCAGCTGCGAAACCTGAAGAGCCTCAAACTCGCGTTCGTAGAAGGGCTTCGTGAGCTGCCCGAATCTTTCTGCGAGTTACCAGCCCTCACGCATTTTTCTCTCGAGTGCTGCTATGAGTTCGTCAGGCTGCCCGAGAACTTCCATCAACTGTCAAGGCTACAAGCAGTAGAGATCTCTGGTCTATCCGTCTTCACTACGTTTCCTGATTCGTTCGGGCAGCTGCCCGCTCTGCAAGAGTTCCGGCTTGAAAACGAATGGAATTGCTCGCGGCTCCCAGACTCCCTTTGCTCAAGTCAAACCCTCCGTTGCTTCACCATCAACAACTGCGAAAGCCTGACCACCCTGCCTGAAGATTTCGGCCGAATCTCCACCCTTGACTACCTGAATCTGGAGATGTCCGCGAATTTCAAGGTTATTCCGGACTCTATCGGCCTTCTGTCTCAACTCAAGGAGCTGAATGTGATCGACTGTTGTGAGCTTTTGGCCTTCCCACAGTCTGTTTCCGCTATGGAGTCACTCACAAGCCTCGTTCTTGACTGCTGCGACCTTCACGAGCTGCCCGGAGACATCGGGCAGCTTTCGAACCTGGTTTCGCTGAAGCTGTCCAGTAACAATCTCGTTACTCTGCCCGACTCGTTCGGGCAGCTGGGGAAGCTGAAGGAATTAGTATTCATGGAATGCAACAGCCTGCTTGAGCTTCCAAACTCCTTTGCCAATCTCTCCTCCTTGGAAACCCTTTTCATCTACGGTGGGGCTTCTCTAGTAGACCTCCCTCCGGGTTTTGAAACCCTCCCGAAGCTGCGTACTCTCTACCTCTTCAACTGCGTTTTTGCGAGCCTGCCGGACAGGTTTGGGGACCTGCCGAGCCTGGAGGTGCTCAGGGTCGGGACAAAGGCATCGTACAGCAGGAATCGGCTCGAGACGGGCAGCGAATCGGATTACGGACCTGAGCTGGAAGGCGCGAGCGCCTTACACATGCTTCCCCAGTCCCTGGTTCGCCTCACAGGCCTGGTAGAGCTCGTGTTGGAGGGGTGTGAGATGCTGGAGGAGTTGCCGCCAGGTATGGGGGGGTTGGCAAGCCTTAGAGTGCTCCAGGTGAAGAATTGCCCTCAGCTGCGGCTCTTCCCGTCGCTTCTCTCCTCGCCCGTTCACAACCCTGCCGGAGATTCTTCTACTCTTGGGACAGACCTCCCTGCTGCTGCTGGTGCTGCTGCTGTTGCTGCCACCACTGCGGCTGCTGCTGCTGCTGCTGCTGCTGCTGCTGCTGCCACTCCTGCTCTCCCATTTCCATCACTGGAGCAGCTGGAGATTTCTGACTGCCCGCTGCTGGAGAGCCTACCAGAGGGCCTCCATCTGCTGCCTAGACTGGAACACCTCGCTCTTGAAGACTGCACCGGCCTAAACCTCACACACCCGAGCCCCTTGCCACCCCCTTCATCCCCACCCCCACAGAGCAACTCTGTTCTGTCCGCACTGTCCCCACCATCGACCTCCTCCTCCTCCCCTCTTGTTGCGCCCATCTCACTTCCGAGTTCCATCAAAACCATCATCCTCTCAAACGTCTTCCAGTCAGCCCAGTTCCTCCCAGAGTCACTTTTTTCTCTCCGCCAGCTCACCCACTTGAACATCTACGACCTTCCATCTCTCCAGCAGCTGATTGCCCCTTCCCTTGTGACCCAGTCCTCAGCCCACGCCCAAGCCACCCACGATGACCAGTCTGAAAGATTCGATTCCGATTCTGATATGCCGGCCAGATTGGATCTCTCGTCTTCTCTGCAGCATCTTCACATCGCCCAACCTTCCTGCACTCCCTGAAACCGTGGGCAATCTGGTGCAGCTAAGAGTGCTGCTGCTAGAGGAGTGTCCTGCCATGGTCTCCCTTCCCACGTCCCTCACTAGCCTCTCCAATCTCCAACAACTCACACTCAAGTCCCTCCCCTTGCTGACCCACCTGCCCGAGAATATCGGGCAGCTTAAAGCCCTGCGCGATCTGAGTCTGGATTCCTGCCAAGCTCTTAAAGCCCTGCCGCCCTCCGTCACCATCCTCTCCTCCCTCATGCGTCTCACCATCGCAGACTGTCCCGACTTTACCTGCCTCGCGGATTCCATCTCCTCTCTCTCCAGCCTTGCCTCTCTCACACTCAAACGCCTTGCTTTCCTCCGTCGCCTCCCCTCCCCACTCTCCCTCCCGCACCTCATCAAGCTCTCCCTGCAAGGGTGCAAGCGGCTGAGGGCTCTGTCCAGCGACTTGGGCAGTTTGTCCTGTCTGAGGGAGGTGGATCTGGACGGGTGTACACAGTTTAAGGAGCTGCCAGTGTCGCTGGTGGATCGTATGAATGTGATTACAGTGAAGGGTTCTTGGGGGTGGCACCTGTAGGAGGTCAGAGGCGACCTCTGGGTTGGGGCCGAGTATTGTAGGATGAATGTGATTACAGTGAAGGGTTCTTCTTGAGGGTGGCTGGCACCTGTAGGCGTATGTGATGTGAGAGGTGATAAAAGTATGGCAGTTTATAAAAGCATGTGCATTCTGCATTGATACATGACAGGAACAGCAAATTATTTGTTTGAAGTGACATTGTTCTATTTTAATCCATTGGTACTACAGTATCCTACCTTACAAATTTTCCTCACCACGATAACATCTTGACGCTGGGAATCAGGGCCCAAAATATCAGGGTAAAACGCCCTGATTACCCTGGGGGCCGGCCGCTTTTTCAGGATTACCCTGCCAAAATCAGGATTGCACGATAGTTACCCTTCTGCAAAAAGAGCATGTTTTTTTTTACACTGATTGGATTTATGGTTAGCCTGACGGTGTCAGGGTAGGGTCAGGGCCTCAGAAGTCAGGAATTTTACCCTGAATTCCTGAAGTTTGACCCCCGTTTTTTATCATGACCCTGATGCATCAGCCTTTTTTTTTTTGCGACCCTCATGTTTCAGTGTTTTTTTACTCTGAACTCTGATTTTCCAGTGTTTTGTGTTTGAGGACACTGACGAGTCAGTGTTGTATCGGGGTCTACCCTGATACCGAAAACTCCTTGTTTTGGCGCGCCGTCACCGTGCACCGTGCACCAAGTGTGAGAATGAGAACGAGAATGGATGAACTATGAAATGAAGTGAGTACAAATATGAAACCCTAATTGGTTGTACCCCCTATGGGATACCCCACTATAGCCTACATAACAGCATAAGCTACAATGTTCTGACACACCCCCATAGGCAAAGTGGGGGAGAACAAGGGGTCACAAGACCAGTCAAGCAAAGCAAAGCAAAGGAAAGCTCAGGGTGGATCACAAAGTCACCACACAGTCCGAGCACAGGGTCAAGGCCACACGGCCAGTTCACATGCAAGAGTACACACATATATATAAAGCTAGACAAGCAAGAGCAGGTATATATATATGTGAGAGTACAAGCAAGGTCAAGAGGAGAGCAAGTGAGGCAAGACGGGCACAAGACCCAGCTGAGTGCAGAAGCGCTGATGATCACAAGGCGGAAGTGCCTTGGTGAAGACATCAGCAGTGTTGGCCTCAGAGGCCACGTACGCAAGCCGCAACTGTCCACGTTGCTGTAGCTCACGAGCAAGGAAGTAGCGGAGAGCAATGTGCTTTGTTCTGTGCTCCAGTCGCTGCTCTCGACACAAGGCCAGCATGGCCTTGTTGTCTACGTACAGGACTGGAGGAGAACGAGGCGGCTCTCCAAGGTCGGTCAGCAGGTAGGTGAGCCAGCGAAGCTCCTGTGCAGCCATGGCCCCGGCGTAGATCTCAGCCTCACAACTCGAGCCAAGAACAGAAGACGAGCGAGTAGCCCGCCACGAAACAGAGCCGGAACCAAGGCTGAAGGTGTAACCCTGTGACGACCGCTGCGTAGCCTGGTCGTCAGCCCAAGAAGCGTCCGCGTGCCCAGTGAGGACCACTGGACTCCGCCCTCCAAGCACTAGCCCCATGCCCGACGTACTGCACAAGTAGCGCAACACCCTCTTCGCTGCAGCCATGTGCTCTGGTCTGTGTCTCCCAGGAGCAACATAGCGTGCAAGAATGCTAAGAGGGTATGCAAGGTCAGGTCGTGTGCAGGTCATCAGGTACATGAGGCAGCCAACAAGCTCTGGGTACGGGCCACTCGACTCTACGGACTCATCCGAAGGCAGAGCTGAGAGCGAGTGGCGAGTAGACAGAGGAGTGGCCTGAGGCGAGGAGTACGTGAAGCCGAAGCGCTGAAGGACCTGCTGCACCATGTGTGACTGAGTCAGGGTAATGGTGCGGCGTGCTCTGTCCCGGGTGATCTGCAAGCCAAGGTAGCTGCGCAGTTCACCCAGGTCTGTGCACGTGTGTCTCTTCTGCAGCTCGGACTTCACGTAGGCGAGTCCAGCAGTGTCAGCTGTGGCAAAGACCAAGTCGTCAACGTACACGAGGATGTAGAACGGCGGCAGAGAGGTGTCGGTGCGTAGAAACAGCGACGGGTCGGCAGTAGAAGGAGTAAACCCAAGAGCCGCAAGCGTAGTCCTCAGTGTGTCGTGCCACTCACGTGGCGCCTGGCGGAGACCGTAGACTGGACGCCGGAGACTCCACTGGGTACCAGGAGGGAAAGACCCAGTGAAGCCAGGTGGGCGACGCAGCCAGATCTCCTCGTGCAGGCTGCCCTGCAAGAAAGCTGTGCTGAAGTCAAGAGAGTGCAGCTCGTAGTCACGGTGAGCAGCAACGTGCAGCAGTACCCGAAGAGTGGTCATCTTCGGGGTGGGGGAGAAGGTCTGAAAGTAGTCAACTCCCTGCCGCTGACTGAAGCCACGAGCCACGTAACGCGCCTTGAAGACAGGCGGAGAACCCGGCGGCCGCTTCACCCTGAAGATCCACATGCCACTGACGATGTTCGCCCCAGGAGGGGAGACAGCGTCAACGTAGGTGCCTGTGGACTTCCAGGAAGCCATCTCTGCATCCATAGCTGCCTGCCACTGAGAGGAGTAGGGACCCTCTATCGTCTCCGCGTAAGAGCGCGGAGTCGGGATGTCAAGTGCATCCGGGTCTCCCTCAGGGGTAAGCAGTACGGACACGAGATGAGGTGAGGCAGCTGCCAGACACTGGAACTCCTCCTGCCTGTCCTCAAGGACGTCCGTGCCAAGGGCACACTCACCCCCGACGGACGGAGGACAGACAGACTCAGACTCAGCGACAAGACTAGCAGCGTAGTCTAAGCGACAGCGAGCAGCAAAGTCGACGAGCTCAGTAACGAGAGCAGACGCAGCAGTAGACTCGAAAGAAGGGTCAGTGACAACAGTAGCAAGGAGACGCGTGACAGTAGGACTGGCAGCACGAAGAGAGTCCGACTCCGGGTCGGCAAGAGCAGGAAGAGAGGACTCAGGAGGAGAAGGCAAAGGGGCACGCAGAGGAGCAGTGGACGGACGCAGAGACATCCGGTGCGTGCCAGGGACAGGAGGAGGACGCTGACGCGAACCGCGACCACTAGTGCGAGCAGCACGGACAGGCGACGCAGGGCGAGACGCAGGCTCACGACGCTCAGCCAGACCTCCAGTAGGACCAGTGTAGGGAGAAGGAGCAGGCAAAGGGGAGGTAGGCTGCAACTGTAGCTGGGACGAGACAGGCTGTGGACACTCTAAGGGAGGAGGAGGACCAGTAGAAGGTGGAAGACCAAGAACCTGCTGCAGGAGTGGAACGAAGTACGGTCGAGGCCGCGCGGCGACGCTAGAAGCAGCAGGGACAGCACCAGAACCCTCAGCAGGAGCACCCGCTCCAGCAGCACCACCAGTAGCTCCAGAACCTCCAGCAGCACCAGGAGCACCCCCAGTAGGACTGCCAGCGGTAGTCTCAGCGCCAACACCCTCAGCAGCACCAGCTCCAGTGCACCCAGGACGAGCACCTCCGGGACCCGCGACCGCAGCACCCTCAGCAGCCGAAGGACCTCCAGCACCAGCAGCACGCCTCCAGCGCCGGGCAAACCACTCACGCAGCTCCTGTGGCGAAAGTGGCTCCCGGCGAGACGAAGCACTCGGAGAACCTCCAGGCGGAGCACCTCCAGGCTCAGCACCCCCAGGCGTAGCACCCCTAGGCTCAGCACCCCCAGACGTAGCACCCCTAGGCTCAGCACCCCCAGGCTCAGCACCCCTAGGCTCAGCACCCCCAGGCTCAGCACCCCCAGGCTCAGCACCCCCAGGCTCAGCACCCCTAGGCTCAGCACCCCCAGGCTCAGCACCCCTAGGCTCAGCACCCCTAGGCTCAGCACCCCCAGACGTAGCACCCCCAGGCCCAGCACCCCTAGGCTCCGCACCCCCAGGTACAGCACCCCCAGCCTCAGCACCCTCAGCAGCACCAGAGTCACCAGTGAACTCGACAGGCTCGACTGCGTCTACCTGGGACACACCTGAAGGGGCAGGACCCTGAGGGGGGAGGGGGTCTACCTGGGGGGGACCTGGTACCAGGAAGAGTGGGGGTGGGGGGAGGGACGGAGTGCGGTAGGGGAAGAGGCGGTAGTAGGGGACCGACTCGTCAAACGTGACGTCCTGGGAGGACAGAACACGGCGAGAGGTGGGGTGGTAAAACTGCCACCCAGGCGCGTCAGGGGGGAACCCCAGGAAGACGCAAGGAGCAGCACGAGGGGATAGTTTGTCCGCAGACAGGTCGCGGACAAACGCCCGAGATCCCCAGACCCGGAACGCCGACGCATCGCCAACCTTCCCGGTCCACAGCAAGGCTGGGGAGGTCTCCGGCCTGGAGACCCTGGGGTGGAGGTTGATCTGATGCGCCGCGTACCTCACCGCAAACGGCCACAGAAAATGGGGGGCAGCCGCATGCATCATAGACGTACGAGCGACGTCCATGACCATGCCAATGCGGCGCTCAGCAATCCCATTTTGCTGCGGTGAGTCCGGAAGCGTGAAGGTCTGACGGATGCCCCGTGCACGACAGTAGGCACGCAGAAGGCCAGAGGAGAACTCTCTGCCTCTGTCCGAGTGCAGACGCAGAACAGGAAAGTCCGAGCCGAAGCTCTGCCTGAGCTGGAGACGAGCTGCGCGGATCCAGTCGATCAGCACCTCAGTGACATCACCCTTGCTGCGCAAGGGGAAGACTGTGGTGTAACGCGAGTAGTCGTCAACCACCAGCAGGAAGTAGCGCTCGTGACCCTGTCCACGGACGCGGGCTGGGCCCCACACGTCCATGTGAAGTGTCTGCAACGGGGCCTCTGTCGAAGGAAACTGGGAGGAGTGAGGGGCAGCACGTTGGCGCCCCTCGACACAGGGGACACAGGCAGGGCCAGGGCCCTGAGGAAGGGGAGGGAGGGACCGGGGGAGACCGGACACAAGAAGACGGGAGGCCATACCTCTGAGCCGAAGCAGAGAGGGGTGGCCAAGGCGGTGGTGCCAGAGGAGAGTCTCGTGAGACAGGAGACGACACGAACAGGGGGCAGACTCAGGACCAGACCTGGACGCCGCAGCAAACACCTGACCCGACGTAACTACCCTACCAGACTCAGCAACTGGAGGAGACGCAGTGGTCAGAGTGTACAGGCTCGACCCCGGCTGACGGGTGAACGTAGCCAGGTGTCGGCCTGTGCCAGCCTCTGTACAGTGGGTCACTCGCTGACGTGCAGGAGTGAACTGGTGGACACCCGCATCCTGTAGGTCAGCACCACTCACCAGGTTCGTCGAGAACGAGGGGAGGTAGAGACCAGACAGGGTGCCAGAGGGAGCCGCCGGACACGGGAGGACTGTGGAGAAACGAGACAGGACCGGACCCCCAGAGGGGTCAGCCAGAGACACCGCAACCGGCCGACTAAGCGGCGTGAGTGTGGTGCGGTCCCGAAAGAAGGAGCGAGACGCCCCAGAGTCAAGAGTGAAGGTGAGAGAGGCCGAAGCCGACGCGGTACCTGAGAGAGCAGACTCACCAGTACCTGAGGACGCAGACACACCAGCACCTGGAGCAGCAGCGTCGTAAGCACCTAGGGCAGCAGCCTCACCAGTACCTAGAGCAACAGTCTCAATGCCCGGATCGGGCTGGAAACACCGGTAACAGTCACCCTCATCACTAATAGACACAGCATACATGGCAGAGAGAATAGCATCAAAGTCCAGATCAAAGATGGCAACCCCCGCCCTAGACAGCTCGTCCCAGCGAGGGATCTCGGAGGCCTCCGGGAACTGGTGACGCCATGCGTCCGTCAGGCGGCCAAAGCAGCGCGGAGTGGGGTGTGCACCCCCACACTGCTCACCCGCACGGTCGCCGGTGCGCAGGACGTAGGTACACGGACCAAAACCCCCACCCCGCTGGCGTGCAGTGTACCACTCACGGAGCTGCTGAGGGGACAGGGTCGCACGACCACGCTGCTGCTGCTGGCGCGAGCCACCACCGGAGCCACTCCTCTGCAAAGACCCGCGACCAGCTCCACCGCCACCCCCACCGCCTCCACCGCCTCCGCTGCCTCCACTGCCGCCGCCGCCTCCACCGCCTCCTCCACCGCCGCCTCCTCCGCCACCTCCGCTACCACCGCCACCGGCGCCGCGGCCTCCGCCTCCACTGCCGCCACCGAACCCCCCACCCCCACCTCCACCTCCGCCGCTACCCCCACTCCCCCCACTGCCTCCACCTCCACCTCCACCGCCCGCTCCTCCAGCTCCCTTGCCCCCCTTGCCCTTGCCAGGGCGGCGTCTCCCGCTAGGGGCAGACGCCGCACCGACCGACTCAAGACCAAGAAGGTCGGCCGAAGCAGCAGAGGCAACAGAGGGCAGCAGGGGGGAGGGAGAACACCCCTCAAAGATGGGGGTGCGCGGGTCACCTCGAGAGGCTCCTACAGCGACTATGCTCTTTTCTATCGCGAGGAGGGCCTTCTCGAGGAGGTCTACAGTGAGTGTGGTGGGACAGACTGAGAGAAAGTGGTCCCTGACTACTCGAAGGGAGTCAGGGAGGCGAGTGACTAGGAAGTACAGAGTGATGTACATGGGGGGGGGGTTCGCGGTGCAGAAGTCAGCAGGAAGTGCAGCGCGGTAGCGAGTGTCACTAGTGCGGAGGTGCGTAATGAGGTCAGCAACGGTGGGAAAAGAAGCAAGGTCAGGGAAGAGGTACGGCAGCATGAGACGGCTCAGTGCAGCAGTGGAAGGGGAGGAGTAGCGCGCGACTACAGCGGCGTACAAGGTCTGAGCACTCTTGTACTAACTAAAGTGCGCACGCTCGGAGGTAGGGAGGTGGCGACGCACAGCAAGACGTGCAGCAGCATCGCGCGTGGCCCACTGGGAGCGAACAGTGGCGTCAGCATCAGCAGCAGGGGCAGGGGAAGCGCCAGAGGTGAGGTCAAAGAGAGAGAGGCCGTCCGCCCTATCGCACTGTAAGAACAGCTGTAGGTCATCTACCCAGACCTCAAAGTCAATGGCCCGACCCTCAGCGTCAAAAGTGAGGACACTAGGGGTAGCCATGACAGCAGTAGACCAGCAGTGCAAGGAGTAGGGGAAGAGCACGCAGTGACAGAGGGTCTGTGCTCACCGGACAGGGCTGCTCGGGCGGCTCGGCTGCAGGGCGGCTCGGCCGCTGGGCGGCTCGGCGGCTGGGCGGCTCGGCGGCTGGGCGGCTCGGCAGCTGGGCGGCTCGGCGGCTGGGCGGTCGGCTGCACGGCGGCTCGACTGGTGGGCGGCCGGGCGGCTCGGCTGCAGCGCGGCTCGGCGGCGGGGCGGCTCGGCTGCTCTGCTGCTGGGCGGCTCGGCTGCGCTGCTGTTGGGCGGCTCGGCTGGGCCGCTGACGTAGGGCGGCGGGGCCGCTGAAGAAGGACGGCGGGGCCGCTGGGTAGTGAGGCGGCGGGGCCGCGAAGACGGGCGGCGGGGCCGCTGCAGAGAAGCGGCGGGGCCGCAGTGAAGGGCGGCGGGGCCGCAACGAGAGAGGCGGCAGGGCCGCAGCGAGAGAAGCGGCGGGGCCGCGAAGTCGGGCGGCGGGGCCGCTGAGTAGGGCGGCGGGGCCGCAGTGAGAGGCGGCGGGGCCGCAGCGAGAGAGGCGGCGGGGCCGCGAAGACGGGCGGCGGGGCCGCTGAGACGGGTGGCGGGGCCGCAGTGAGTGGCGGCGGGGCCGCAGCGAGAGATGGCGGCGGGGCCGCGAAGACGGGCGGCGGGGCCGCGAAGACGGGCGGCGGGGCCGCAACGAGAGAGGCGGCGGGGGCCGCAGAAAAGGGCGGCGACGGGCCGGGGCGGCTCGAAGCCGCAGGTAGAGGCGGCGCGAAGCCGCGGGAAGGGCGGCGACGGGCCTGGGCGGCGCGAAGCCGCAGGTAGGGGCGGCGCGAAGCCGCCGGTGAGGGCGGCGCAAAGCCGCGGGTAAGGGCGGCGACGGGCCGGGAAAAGGGCGGCGCGCCGCAGCCGCTAGGGCGGCTCGACGCGACCGTAAGGGCGGCGCGACGGGCCGCTAGGTGCGACTCGACGGGCCGCTAAAAAAAAAAGGCAGGCGCGACTCGAGGCGCGCTTCGGTGGGCCCAAGGAACAGTCCCTAGGAGGGGACCTGCTCTGATATTATGTGAGAATGAGAACGAGAATGGATGAACTATGAAATGAAGTGAGTACAAATATGAAACCCTAATTGGTTGTACCCCCTATGGGATACCCCACTATAGCCTACATTACAGCATAAGCTACAATGTTCTGACACCAAGGGGATTTCTGACGGAACATGCTCTGAAAGGGCGAATCTCTTGTGTGAGGGGCGAATCTCTTGTGTGAGGGGCGAATCTGCTGCTGTGTCAGGGCAAATCTACTGTGATTGGGCGAATTTGCTGTGCTGCGACAGCGCGAAACCACTGTGCGAGGGCGAATTTGCCGTCAGGGCGAATCTGCTGTGACGAACCGAGTCCGAATCATCAGTCAAGTACACAACCAGAGATCAGAAACAATTGTAAACAATTGTCCTACTCGATTGGTCAGAGAAGATTTATGACCAATCAGACACAGAAATAGCAAAATTCTGGCCGAATTTGGAAATTGTAAAGTAAGGTCAATCTGATTCGCTGTGTTATGACAGCATACCGGTAATAAGCAACTATGCTGATCAGTGTTGAAGTTTAAAAAACCCTGATCCATCAGCGTTTTATTTCTAACAACCCTGTAAAATCAGTGTTTCACATCAGACGACACTGAAAATCAGTGTTACCCTCCTAGGGACACTGAGTGCTCAGGGTACCCAAAAACCAATCTGAGGCCCTGGGTAGGGTGTAGACTATCCTGATACCGGAACTTCTTTACCGCGGATCAGGCCTTATTCCGCGTGGTGACGAACTGTACCACACTCACATATCAGACATTTCCGAAAGCCTCATCGGAATTCGGTCGTCAGAACGGTTTTGCCAGTGTCGTCGAGGGGGGTCGTCGGAGCCGAGAATGACGAGGCGGGCGACTGACGCGCGTGCGGGCCCGCCAGCCTGGCCCAGGGCTGGGCCGAGCGCACGACCGCCGCCCCGCAGCCCCGCTCCGAAAGTGAACAGCGGCTCACGTTACCGGGTGGGGTCGGCGAACTGGCGACACCTCGCGCGTGGGAAAGTTACCCTCGCGCGAAGGCAGCCCACACGTGCCACCTGCCCGCGAGGTCCTAGTAACCCATCGCGGCCTGCCCGGACGGGCAGGCGAGGGCCGGGCGAAAACTCGGGGCCCCCTCGGGACGCTCGACAATTTTGCGACCCGTTGCGGTGACGCCACGTGTTCGCTCGTGGTTTCGCATCGGGCGCATGCGATATTTCGTTGCGAGCGAAAAAAAAAAGCCCGCAACGCGGAGAACGAGGTTCGTTACCCGCTACGAAGTCGACACGTGTCGTGCGAATGGACGCTCCGCGCGCATGCGAAATTGCGTCCCCTCGCCGACCTGGGCCAATGGACGCGAGGTCGACGCCCTGCCGAAGCGGAGTCGGACCACCTGTTCCACTTGTGCATGCGCCCTCAGAGCCCTGCCGAGCCAGGCCCCACACCCTTGGGCGATGCTGAACGGGGATGCGGTGGGCCACCGTCTCCTTTTCTTTGTGGATGGTGGCCTCGCTCCCCATTTTCCGCATCTCGTTTCGCTCCTCCTTTTCTCCTTTTTTTCTCCTTTCGTTGCTCTGTGCTATCGTGATATCGCTTCCCCTTAGTCGATATGGACCCTAGCCCCGACGCCGATAACTCGGCGCCGACTTCGGCTGACTTCCCTCTTCGTCACCCAATGGGTCGTGGTCTCAGCTTCACTCTAGAGTGGGAAGACTTCTTAGATCTTCGCAACCACAAGATAGAGTTCAACGACGGATGTTTGGGTTTCGGCATCAGGTAGGACTCGAGTAGTCGGCGCCGACTAAACAGGGTTAGTGTTGATGTCGGCGCAGTGGCCTTCTGATTTACGTCGACGTGCGCGGTATTAAGCATAGACCCCCTCCAGGAACGTCGGCCACCTTAGGAAGCGTCGACCACACGCAGTCGCCCTGCGTACTTTTCGGCGTTTGCTCAACCGCCCTTGTATGAACCTCCTTGCCCAATCGTGCCGTCAGGTTCGCGTGGTCCCGACTTGGGATCGACAACCAGCGTTTGTGGGTAATCGGAGTCGGCACGCTTCGATCGGCCATGAAGGAGGCCGACCATTCATGCTTTGCTGCGGTTTTCGACGCCGACATCGCCGCTATCCCGTTAAGAACGATGTGAGCTGTTTCATCGTTGATCAGTTGTCGTTTTTTGTTGTCGCGACATCGCGTGGTGTTGTGATCGACGCCGTCGTGAATTGCATGTGCAGCCTCGGTCCGCTTCCAGGAACGCACTGCAGCGTCATGCCATCCTATACCCTGGAGATCTGTTGAAGGCTGAGGGACAGGTGTGCAGGACCTCAATCCGGCACATCGACCCGCAGACCGGTAAAGGGTATCACCGCGACGAGGCCGCCCGCGTGCTAAAGTAAGTGCTGAATTGTCGTCGATGACCCGCTTGTTAGTCGGCGACACAGGGTATCACACGCTGACCGCCTCCCTCCACCGCGGTGCTTAAGGTTCTTCCGCACGGCTGTCCTGGCCGAGCTGGGGCGTCCCGGTAGGATGTGGGACTGGGCGCCGCCATCACAAGCAGTGGTGGAGGTCAGGCTGGCCGACTGCGACCACCCTATCCGCGATGTGAGTTGCACGTTCAAGTAGTAAGGGGGTGAGAAGAAACAAGGAATGAATGAACTATGAATGAATTGGGTACAAGTAATAACCCTAATTGGGTTGTACCCCTTATGGGCTGCCCCACTATAGCCTACACAATATGCATGAGCTATAATGTTCTGACACACCCCCATAGGCAAAGTGGGGGAGAACAAGGGGTCACAAGACCAGTCAAGTAAAGCAAAGCAAAGCAAGCTCAGGGTGGATCACAAAGTCACCACACATTCCGAGCACAAGTTCAAGGCCACAAGGCCAGTTCACATGCAGGAGTACATATATATAAAAAGTCTAGACAAGCAAGAGCAGGTATATATATATGTAACAGTACAAGCACGGTCAAGAGGTGAGCAAGTGAGGCAAGGTAGGCACAAGGCCCAGCTGAGTACAGAAGCGCTGATGGTCACAAGGCGCAAGCGCCTTGGTGAAGATATCAGCAGTGTTGGCCTCAGAGGCCACGTACGCAAGACGCAGCTGACCACGCTGCTGCAGCTCACGAGCAAGAAAGTAGCGGAGAGCAATGTGCTTCGTTCTGTGCTCCAGTCGCTGCTCCCGACACAAGGCCAGCATGGCCTTGTTGTCTACGTACAGCACTGGAGGAGAACGAGGCGGCTCTCCGAGGTCAGTCAGCAGGTAGGTGAGCCAGCGAAGCTCCTGTGCAGCCATGGCTCCTGCGTAGATCTCAGCCTCACAACTGGAGCCGAGAACAGAAGACGAGCGAGTAGCCCGCCACGAAACAGAGCCGGAACCAAGGCTGAAGGTGTAACCCTGTGACGACCGCTGCGTAGCCTGGTCGTCAGCCCAAGAAGCGTATAGCTTCAGTTTGACTCTATTTCATTCAACTCACTCGCTTTCTTTAGGCACCACTGCCTCCCCTCGATTTCTTTGAGGCCTCAACACTGGCCAAAAACTGAAGAAAGGCGACAAATTCACGCCATCTCCCCACTCCTCTCCCCATTCCTCTCTCCACTCCTCCCCACCCCTCTCCCCACTCCTCCCACTCCCCTTCCCACTCCTCTCCCCACTCCTCTCCCCGTTCCCCTCCCCACTCCACTCCCGTTCCCTCTCTCCTCAACCATCCCTCCACCAGGAGAGCTGGGCATACCGCTATCCACGAGATGCGCTGCTCCAGGCAGGCTACAAGCGCAAGGCCCTTCTGTCATTGCCTCGGTCTCCCAAGTCCTCTCCTCACTGCCCTCCCCACTCCTGATTCCGCCATCCCCTCACCAGGAGAGCTGGACGTACCGCTATCCACCAGATGCCCTGCTGCGGGCAGGCTACGAGCCCATGGCTCTACCGCCATCTGGAGGACGGGGCAACGGCAGCACATGCAGTGGGGAGGGCGAGGGGGCAAGGCTGGGTGCTGCCCACGTGGAGGCTGTTGATTGGGCGGACCGGCTGGGCAGCCTGATTCAGTACCACTGTGCTGGCTTCCTCAATAACGGGCGGCAGGTGAGGGGTGGGGGGCTTTAGGCTGGCTGCCTAGCAGACGGCAGGTGAGGGATGAGACGGAGTGAGGTCCAGGAGGACCCGGTCTCTTCTTGGTGGGCTTTTGCACCCACTCAGCAGTCCTCATGGCATGTGCATGTGCATGTGCATGTGCATGTGCATGTGCATGTGGATGTGCATGTGCATGTGGATGTGCATGTGCATGTGCATGTGCATGTGGATGTGCATGTGCATGTGGATGTGCATGTGCATGTGGATGTGCATGTGCATGTGCATGTGCATGTGCATGTGCATGTGGATGTGCATGTGCATGTGCATGTGCATGTGCATGTGGATGTGCATGTGCATGTGCATGTGGATGTGCATGTGCATGTGGATGTGCATGTGCATGTGGATGTGCATGTGCATGTGCATGTGCATGTGCATGTGCATGTGCATGTGGATGTGCATGTGCATGTGCATGTGCATGTGGATGTGCATGTGCATGTGCATGTGCATGTGGATGTGCATGTGCATGTGGATGTGCATGTGCATGTGGATGTGCATGTGCATGTGGATGTGCATGTGCATGTGCATGTGGATGTGCATGTGCATGTGCATGTGCATGTGGATGTGCATGTGCATGTGCATGTGCATGTGGATGTGCATGTGCATGTGCATGTGCATGTGGATGTGCATGTGCATGTGGATGTGCCTGTGCATGTGCATGTGCATGTGCATGTGCATGTGGATGTGCATGTGCATGTGCATGTGCATGTGAATGTGGATGTGCATGTGCATGTGCATGTGCATGTGGATGTGCATGTGCATGTGCATGTGCATGTGCATGTGCATGTGCATGTGGATGTGCATGTGCATGTGCATGTGCATGTGGATGTGCATGTGCATGTGCATGTGCATGTGGATGTGCATGTGGATGTGGATGTGCATGTGCATGTGGATGTGCATGTGCATGTGCATGTGCATGTGCATGTGCATGTGGATGTGCATGTGCATGTGCATGTGCATGTGGATGTGCATGTGCATGTGCATGTGGATGTGCATGTGCATGTGGATGTGCATGTGCATGTGGATGTGCATGTGCATGTGCATGTGCATGTGCATGTGCATGTGCATGTGGATGTGCATGTGCATGTGCATGTGCATGTGCATGTGGATGTGCATGTGCATGTGCATGTGCATGTGGATGTGCATGTGCATGTGGATGTGCATGTGCATGTGGATGTGCATGTGCATGTGGATGTGCAGTGCATGTGCATGTGCATGTGCATGTGCATGTGCATGTGGATGTGCATGTGCATGTGCATGTGCATGTGCATGTGGATGTGCATGTGCATGTGCATGTGCATGTGGATGTGCATGTGCATGTGGATGTGCATGTGCATGTGCATGTGCATGTGCATGTGGATGTGCATGTGCATGTGCATGTGCATGTGCATGTGGATGTGCATGTGCATGTGCATGTGCATGTGCATGTGCATGTGCATGTGCATGTGCATGTGGATGTGCATGTGCATGTGCATGTGCATGTGCATGTGCATGTGCATGTGCATGTGCATGTGCATGTGCATGTGCATGTGCATGTGGATGTGCATGTGCATGTGGATGTGCATGTGCATGTGGATGTGCATGTGCATGTGCATGTGCATGTGCATGTGCATGTGCATGTGCATGTGCATGTGCATGTGCATGTGCATGTGCATGTGGATGTGCATGTGCATGTGGATGTGCATGTGCATGTGGATGTGCATGTGCATGTGCATGTGCATGTGCATGTGCATGTGGATGTGCATGTGCATGTGCATGTGCATGTGGATGTGCATGTGCATGTGCATGTGCATGTGGATGTGCATGTGCATGTGCATGTGCATGTGGATGTGCATGTGCATGTGCATGTGCATGTGCATGTGCATGTGCATGTGCATGTGCATGTGCATGTGCATGTGCATGTGCATGTGCATGTGGATGTGCATGTGCATGTGCATGTGCATGTGCATGTGCATGTGCATGTGCATGTGCATGTGCATGTGCATGTGCATGTGCATGTGCATGTGGATGTGCATGTGCATGTGCATGTGCATGTGCATGTGGATGTGCATGTGCATGTGCATGTGCATGTGCATGTGGATGTGCATGTGCATGTGCATGTGCATGTGGATGTGCATGTGCATGTGCATGTGCATGTGGATGTGCATGTGCATGTGGATGTGCATGTGCATGTGCATGTGCATGTGATGTGCATGTGCATGTGCATGTGCATGTGCATGTGCATGTGCATGTGCATGTGCATGTGCATGTGCATGTGCATGTGGATGTGCATGTGCATGTGCATGTGCATGTGGCATGTGCATGTGCATGTGGATGTGCATGTGCATGTGCATGTGCATGTGCATGTGCATGTGCATGTGCATGTGCATGTGCATGTGGATGTGCATGTGCATGTGCATGTGCATGTGCATGTGCATGTGCATGTGCATGTGCATGTGCATGTGCATGTGCATGTGCATGTGTGGATGTGCATGTGCATGTGCATGTGCATGTGCATGTGCATGTGCATGTGGATGTGCATGTGCATGTGCATGTGCATGTGCATGTGCATGTGCATGTGCATGTGCATGTGCATGTGCATGTGCATGTGGATGTGCATGTGCATGTGCATGTGCATGTGGATGTGCATGTGCATGTGCATGTGCATGTGCATGTGCATGTGCATGTGGATGTGCATGTGCATGTGCATGTGCATGTGCATGTGCATGTGCATGTGCATGTGCATGTGCATGTGCATGTGCATGTGGATGTGCATGTGCATGTGCATGTGCATGTGGATGTGCATGTGCATGTGCATGTGCATGTGCATGTGCATGTGCATGTGGATGTGCATGTGCATGTGCATGTGCATGTGCATGTGCATGTGCATGTGCATGTGCATGTGCATGTGCATGTGCATGTGCATGTGCATGTGCATGTGCATGTGCATGTGGATGTGCATGTGCATGTGGATGTGCATGTGCATGTGGATGTGCATGTGCATGTGCATGTGCATGTGCATGTGCATGTGGATGTGCATGTGCATGTGCATGTGCATGTGGATGTGCATGTGCATGTGCATGTGCATGTGGATGTGCATGTGCATGTGGATGTGCATGTGCATGTGGATGTGCATGTGCATGTGGATGTGCATGTGCATGTGCATGTGCATGTGCATGTGGATGTGCATGTGCATGTGCATGTGCATGTGGATGTGCATGTGCATGTGCATGTGCATGTGGATGTGCATGTGCATGTGGATGTGCATGTGCATGTGCATGTGCATGTGCATGTGTATGTGGATGTGCATGTGCATGTGCATGTGCATGTGCATGTGCATGTGCATGTGCATGTGCATGTGGATGTGCATGTGGATTGGCCGCATGTGCACGTGCATGTGCACTCGCTTGAATGATTCAAAGCGCCCGTAGCTGAACCCCATGTCCCGTGGCTTGGGTCCCATTCAGACACTCTCTCCTCCCCTCGCCAATCATATCAATCATTTCAACCATCTTATTCTTTGTGTTGCACACAGCAAAGGGCAGCAGGGCTAGCCATGCTGGCCATCATGCAGGCCCTCAGGCACGAGTGGGTCCCATTCAGACACTCTCCCACTCCCCTCTCCAATCACACCAATCATCTCATTGTATCCCCATTGCACCAAATGCAATGCACACAGCAAAGGGCGGCGGGGCTAGCCATGCTGGCGATCATGCACGCACTCAGGCACGAGTGGGCCCGCCTTCTCGCCTCCTCGTCTCGCCCAGCCAGTGCCAGCAGCGGCGCTGACGTGGCGCTGACGTGGCGTGACGTGTACTCCATGGCTGCCACGTGGCGGCAGGTAGCGGAACCAACGGATAAAGTGATGTGGTCCGATCGATACACGTGAGTGATGTGCTGATTAACTAACCAACATATGCTCGTGCTGGTGACCCAATGTAGAGAGTAACAACCTAACATTTGAAAACATTAACCTCTCTAATTGTGCGCTAACAGATTGCTTCGGCTTCAGCCAGTGCTTTTTCCCAATGTGCAATCCTTCTTGACTGTGACGTCCTTCTTGACTGTGACGTCCTCCGTGGGTGTGCTGGGGTGCGGTGGGTGAGTGGCAGGGAGAGTGGGTTCAACAAGGGGGTCATCTCCAGCACCCCCATCTCATACGGCCAATCGCTTAACTTCAAATACGGCGCATACGCCGACAGGTACAGTGGGCTAACGTGTCTTGAGGCGCCTCAAAAGTATGGCGCATACGCGGACAGGTACAGCGGGCTAACATCTCCTAAGAAATCAGTGTTTCAAAATCAGCGTATATGCCTTTGGGTGGCATGCGCGCAGGACTGTGTAACGGCTGTGTCTGTTTTTTGAGACATCCAGCATATATGTCTAAGGGATGTAGGTGTGACTATAGGGAGTGACTGGTGGAGTTGCACATGTGCAGCAGCTGCTGCAGAATCCCGAACGCTCTGATGTCAAGAGCTGATTTATCATCTGTAAATGCATATGCGTGAGTGTCTGTGTGTGCCTGTGCGTGCATCAGGGCGTTTGTGATTCTGAAGCAGCTGCTGCTGGAGAGAGGAGTGGTGAAGGCGCAGGATGGGCTTGTGGAGGTTCCACTCACCAAGGCCGTGCTCAGAAAGGTACGTCAGCACTGCAGACGTGTTTTAAGTCAACTCAAAAGCACGACTCATTCGAGTCAACTCCAATCACGCAGGATGGGCTGGTGGAGGTTCCACTCTCCAAGGCCGTGCTCAGAGAGGTCTGTGAGCATGGCTGCGTTTTGACTCGTCTCACAGCTCAAAACATGAGGTGCCTCACAACTGAAAACTTGAGACATCTCATCATAACTGGGTGAAGGCGCAGGATGGGCTTGTAGAGATTCCACTCTCCAAGACAGGGCTCAGAAAGGTGCGTGAGCACTGGCAGACTCAAGGACACTCTGCACTCTTGAAGCTTCAAGTATGCTCATGCCTGCTTTACGTTTATCAAGCAAACTATTTTACCCCACCCTTCACCGCATCCCGTTCATCCCATCCCATCCCACACCAGGCGCGCAAGGCCAGCACCCACACGCAGCTAGCCGCGGCAGTCAGCCAACCCTCCTTCTACACGCCGCTGCTCATCCCCAGCTCCGCACAGCCCGGGTGCGCACTGACCTCCGTGCTTGCACCGCGTCCCATCCATCCGATCCCACACCAGGCGCGCAAGGCCAGCACCCACACGCTCATCCCCAGCTCCGCACAGCCCGGGTATGCACTGACCTTCACCTCACCGCGTCCCATCCATCCCATCCCACACCAGGCGCGCAAGGCCAGCACCCACACGCTGCTAGCCGCGGCAGTCGGCCAACCCTCCTTCTACACGCCGTTGCTCATCCCCAGCTCCGCACAGCCCGGGTGCGCACTTACCTCCGTGCTTGCAGCCATGATCCCTGCTGGAGTTTCGTAGTGCCTTGCCTTTTAGCACGTGCAGCGTTTGAGTTGCTTTAAAGCCCTCTCCGTTGCACAGGTTTGGGTCTCTGTTTGCCTCTGGTGTGGTGTGTGTATTTCTGCTTGCGGGCCCGTTTAAGCATGCCCATGTGATGGTTAACATTCTCCCGTGTGGGTATGTTTGAATGCTTCTTTGTACTTCCATGAATATGTGTGTTATGTGTGCAGGAAGCTTATTGAAGGCACACGAATATCAGTATTTCCTAATCCCGAGTAAGCTCGACGTGATCCTTACGCCTCGATACTAGCCTCTTTCGCACCATCGCATCTCTCACACCTCCCTCACATCACTCACTCCCCTCCCCTACCTAACCATCGCCTCCCCTCGTCTCAACAATCTCTCCCAAGCATACCTCCTCCCTCCTTCCATCCCCACATCTTAGATCCCTTTCCGCCTCCCCCAACCCCCAGCTCGCCACCACGCCTACCCCTCCACAATCCTACCCCTCCACAATCCTACCCCTCCACAATCCTACCCCTCCACAATCCTACCCCTCCACAATCCTACCCCTCCACAATCCTACCCCTCCACAATCCTACCCCTCCACAATCCTACCCCTCCACAATCCTACCCCTCCTACCCCGCCCCCTCCTTCCTTTCCCTGTCCGTGCCTCCTTTCTTCCCCCTTGCCAGCTTGCCCGAGCCCGAGCTAGCAATAGACCTCATGCTCAAGCCCCTTTCCTTATCTCATCTCTCGTCTACCCCTTGTTTGAAGGAGTGTTTTGAGATGTCAAAACACTCCTACCCCTCCACAATCCTACCCCTCCACAATCCTACCCCTCCTACCCCGCCCCCTCCTTCCTTTCCCTGTCCGTGCCTCCTTTCTTCCCCCTTGCCAGCTTGCCCGAGCCCGAGCTAGCAATAGACCTCATGCTCAAGCCCCTTTCCTTATCTCATCTCTCGTCTACCCCTTGTTTGAAGGAGTGTTTTGAGACGTCAAAACACTCCTACCCCTCCACAATCCTACCCCTCCACAATCCTACCCCTCCTACCCCGCCCCCTCCTTCCTTTCCCTGTCCGTGCCTCCTTTCTTCCCCCTTGCCAGCTTGCCCGAGCCCGAGCTAGCAATAGACCTCATGCTCAAGCCCCTTTCCTTATCTCATCTCTCGTCTACCCCTTGTTTGAAGGAGTGTTTTGAGACGTCAAAACACTCCTACCCCTCCACAATCCTACCCCTCCTACCCCGCCCCCTCCTTCCTTTCCCTGTCCGTGCCTCCTTTCTTCCCCCTTGCCAGCTTGCCCGAGCCCGAGCTAGCAATAGACCTCATGCTCAAGCCCCTTTCCTTATCTCATCTCTCGTCTACCCCTTGTTTGAAGGAGTGTTTTGAGACGTCAAAACACTCCTACCCCTCCACAATCCTACCCCTCCTACCCCGCCCCCTCCTTCCTTTCCCTGTCCGTGCCTCCTTTCTTCCCCCTTGCCAGCTTGCCCGAGCCCGAGCTAGCAATAGACCTCATGCTCAAGCCCCTTTCCTTATCTCATCTCTCGTCTACCCCTTGTTTGAAGGAGTGTTTTGAGACGTCTCAAAACACATGCTCAAGCCCCTTTCCTTATCTCATCTCTCGTCTACCCCTCCCTCCAACCTCCTTCCTCCTCGCCTGTCCCCTGCAGCTGACTTTTGGGTCGACCCAAAAGTCACCGACCCCGAGCTAGCAATCAAGCTCATGCTAAAGCCCCATCCTCCAATCCAACCTCGTCTCCCCCACTCCCCCTCCCACTCCCGCCAACCTCCTTCCTCCTCGCCTGTCCCGTGCAGCTCGCCCGAGCCTGAGTTAGCAATCGAGCTCATGCTCAAGCCCCATCGCTATTTCCTCTCCCCCCTCCCCTCCCTCCAACCCCCTTCCTCCTCTTCTCGCGCTGTCCCCTGCAGCTCGCCCGAGCCCGAGCTAGCAATCGAGCTCATGCTCAAGCCGGAGCGGTGGAGGGAGTATGAGAGGGAGATGGACGCTGCATGGCAGGTGAGACCGTGAGAGCAAGTGCTCCTCACACACACATACTCCGCCCTTCCTCCTCGCCAGCCCACCTGAGCCCGAGCTAGCAATCGAGCTCATGCTCAAGCCGGCGCGGTGGAGGGAGTATGAGAGTGAGATGGACGCCGCATGGCAGGTGAGACCGTGAGAGCAAGTGCTCACACATAGAAACTCACCACAGCATTTTTTAGGCGCCTCAAAAATCGGCAGGTGAGTGAGAGCAAGTGCTCCTCACACACACATACTCCGTCCTTCTTCCTCGCCAGCCCACCCGAGCCCGATCTAGCAATCGAGCTCATGCTCAAGCCGGAGCGGTGGAGGGAGTATGAGAGTGAGATGGATGCGGTGTGGCAGGTGAGACCGTGAGAGCAAGTGCTCACACATATATACTCACCACAGCATTTTTGAGGCGCCTCAAAAATCGGCAGGTGAGTGAGAGCAAGTGCTCACACACACACAGACTCCGTCCTTCTTCCTCGCCAGCCCACCCGAGCCCGAGCTAGCGATCGAGCTCATGCTCAAGCCGGAGCGGTGGAGGGAGTATGAGAGGGAGATGGACGCTGCATGGCAGGTGAGTGCGAGCAAGTGCTCATACAGACTCATCACCGCATGCGCGCTCATTCGTGCTTGTCTGAATCTCCTCATTCTCCCCGATCCCATCTCCTTCTCCCACCTCACTTCACTGCTCTTACATCCCTCACGCTGTGCTCCCATCCCTCTCTACTGCCCTGCTTCCCTCACGCCCGCTCTGACGCTCTGCTCCCCTCACGCCCCGTGTCCAACCGGCCCTCTCCCATCAGGCCATCTGCATCGCAGTGGCAAATGCATCTCCGCAATTGGTGGGACTTTTGAAAGCTCTCTCACATACCATCTACTCTTCGCCTATCTCTCCCATCAGGCCATCCGCCTGGCAGTGGTGAACACGTCTCTCCGCGACTCTGACTTCCCGGCCTACCGCAAGGCAGTTCAGGACAGCGTACTCAGAATGGCCTATTACTGGTATGTGCTGCTACTGGTATGTGCTGCTACTGGTATGTGCTGCTACTGGTATGTGCTGCTACTGGTATGTGCTGCTACTGGTATGTGCTGCTACTGGTATGTGCTGCTACTGGTATGTGCTGCTACTGGTATGTGCTGCTACTGGTATGTGCTGCTACTGGAGGGTATGGTAGAGCATCGTCGCATGGCCTACTGCTGGTATGCTCATGTGAAGCATGGAGTTAGTGTTGCCTATTACTGCTGGGGTGACTACTGGTATGTTCAAGTGCAGCATTCCAATACTGCCTACTACTGGTATGTGCTGCTGCTGGAGGGTATGGTAGAGCATCATCGCATGGCCCACTGCTGCTATGCTCATGTGAAGCATGAAGTTACTGTTGCCTATTACTGCTGGGGCTGACTACTGGGTCCCTGCTCCTTCTCCCCTGTCCCCTATTCACGACCAACTTCAGACCACTATATGCACAGGCGCATCTGCACATCACATCACAGAAACACATACACCGTTTTGTTTTCAGGGCTGTTTACATTACTGTGTGTATGTTCAACCTGTGCTTCTGCACTCACCCAAACCTCCCAAATCTTAATTTCACTGAAACCATACCACACCACACCACACCACACTTCACCACGCCAGGTACAACTTCCAGCCCTTGTTGCGAGGTACATCAGGCACGGGTTACGTGGTAACGCTCGCTATGCTACTGTCCATGGACCTGCAAGTCACCACCGCCATCCCTCCGGGCGTGCAGGTGAGCAAAGGGCATGTGGATTGCCATGGGGTGTGCAGGTGAGCAGAGGGCATGTGGGTTGCCATGGGGTGTGCAAGTGAGCAGAGGGCATGTGGGTTGCCATGGGGTGTGCAGGTGAGCAGAGGGCATGTGGGTTGCCATGGGGTGTGCAGGTGAGCAGAGGGCATGTGGGTTGCCATGGGGTGTGCAGGTGAGCAGAGGGCATGTGGGTTGCCATGGGGTGTGCAGGTGAGCAGAGGGCATGTGGGTTGCCATGGGGTGTGCAGGTGAGCAGAGGGCATGTGGGTTGCCATGGGGTGTGCAGGTGAGCAGAGGGCATGTGGGTTGCCATGGGGTGTGCAGGTGAGCAGAGGGCATGTGGGTTGCCATGGGGTGCGCAGGTGAGCAGAGGGCATGTGGGTTGCCATGGGGTGCGCAGGTGAGCAGAGGGCATGTGGGTTGCCATGGGGTGTGCAGGTGAGCAGAGGGCATGTGGGTTGCCATGGGGTGTGCAGGTGAGCAGAGGGCATGTGGGTTGCCATGGGGTGTGCAGGTGAGCAGAGGGCATGTGGGTTGCCATGGGGTGTGCAGGTGAGCAGAGGGCATGTGGGTTGCCATGGGGTGTGCAGGTGAGCAGAGGGCATGTGGGTTGCCATGGGGTGCGCAGGTGAGCAGAGGGCATGTGGGTTGCTATGGGGTGTGCAGGTGAGCAGAGGGCATGTGGGTTGCCATGGGGTGTGCAGGTGAGCAGAGGGCATGTGGATAGCCAGGGATGTTGGTGGTAGGCGAGTTGATTGTGCTGTTGTGGGGGTGATTGACGATCGAAGAGACACAAAGAGGATGCGAATGGGGGGGAGAATCAGTGTGCAAGTGGGCAAGAGAGGCATAAGGGTTGAGAGACAACACTGGCGTATGTGAAAGCAAGAGAGGCACAAGTGGGGTGCCAGTCCAGCGCTTGCTAACCTGCTGTCCCTTCACGTGCCCCTCCCGTCCTGTGAGTGCAGGTTGACTGGGAGGCGCTCCTCTCACCAACTCCCGCAGACTTCACAGCCGCCATCTCAGAGTGGCTGTACCCGTCGCTCGCGTATACTCCAGAGTTGGCCCAGATCCCACAGATCAGTGACACGTTTCCATGCCTTCGTGAGGTTTTCCTTGCTCTAGAGTAGCGCTCAGGAGTGGCTGAGATGGGACGAATGCATTCTCTGACATGGGTTGGTACTAACTGGCATATGCTTTTGAATATGGTTTGTGAATAATGATTGAGCTTGAGCTTGAGCTTGATTTTAAGATTGAGCTGGAGCTTGAGTTTGTGCTTGTGCTTCAGCTTCAGGTTCAGCTTTTGCTTAAAGCCCAAGACCTGAATTACAAAAAAAGGAAGGCAAACTGTGCACAGTTTGCCTACCGAACCCACAGTTGACCTCCCGAGCCAGGCTGGTTACCAGAAAACATTGCGCCAAGAAACACAGAGTCGTAGAGCAGGCCCCTAGATTCGTTTTGAGGTAGTCTGAGGCCTCAGAGTACACCCCTCCTGGAACTCTGTCTGTCAGAGGTGCCTCAAAATTTTAGTCTGAAAATTCAGACAAGCACAATTTTTTTTGTCTGAACTGTCAGAGTTACTTCAAAATTTAAGATGTTCATGCAGTTTCGTAAAAGCAGTTATAATAGCATTGAGGCTGATTACAGCCTACCATACCAATGCATCAGGCAACGTGCTCGTGCTCGTGCATCGCCTCTGCTCATGTCGGCGGCGTTCCAGTGTTTTTGTCACGTGCAGCGCATGGGTGTTTCTGCTCTGCTGATCTCATTTCGTTTTGTCGTGTGTGTGATTACCGTTCTGTACCCATTTTCTCGCATGTGTGCCGATTTTGTCAGTTTTGGATTTGCTTTTCAAGCGATTCGGTCGTTCACCCGATCTGTATCAGGTGGGCCAAGTGCCACGCAGCTGAGCTGGCAGCAGGCAGAAACTGTTGCTTGGCGTGGCATGTGAGGATCAGACAGTGCCACACGAAACTTTCAGTACGAATCAGGAACTTCGCAATTCACACCAGTGCGTGCTGCAGATGTTTTTACAGCGAATCAGCATCAAAGTCGCCTATTCTTTACAATACATTAGCGATAACTTACATGTGACGAGATTTTGTCTTCAGAAATCTCGTAATCACGCAACCATTTCCTCAGCGTAACTGGAAGATATTCTCGACGAACGAGTGTATTTGGATGTCCCAGCTGTCGAAGTGAGCGTTGCTCACGTCCTGGCACTCCACTGCCATCTCGGAAGTGGGCATATCGGAAGGAAACTTCTAGGAAACTTTGCTCCGATAAGCGCGCAGAGTGTACCCCCGATACAAGTCTGGGGCTCAGCCTACCCTAGTAAAATTAGGCTGAAATTTCAGACAACTCATAAGAAAAAACTCTGGAAAATCAGACAAGGTACATAAATAAATTCTTTGAGTTCAGACTAGGTACAAAAAAAAAGTCTGAACGGACTCTGATTCAGACTCCAAAGTCTGATATCTAGGGCACTGTCGTAGAGCAGAACAGGTTTGGTTGGCGAGAGTCCCAACCACACCCTCCTGAAGGAACAAGGGCTCAAAATGTGCACAGTTTGCCTTCTTCGGTAATTCAAGTCGTGTGATTTCCATAGTACGCGAAGCGATTAGAGTATGCGAAGAGATATAATAAAACGCCACTACAGCATAGGCCATGAGCATTTTCACTTTTATTCCTAGCTCTTTCCCAAACATCGCATTTGGACCTATCGCCTTCCGCGTCCCCCACGCTTCTCCCCACCGTCTCTCACACACCTCCCCACGCACACGCCCACTCTTCCCACCGTCGCCCAAGCTTTCCCCCACCGTCGCTCACGCTTCCCCTTATCGCCGCTCACGCTTCCTCCGGCCTTCCCCCACACCGTCGCTCACGCCTTTCCCCACCTTCCCTCACGTTTCCCCTCTCATCGCCCACGATTCCTCCCACCGTCGCCCACGCTTCGGAGCACCGTCACCCACGCTTTCCCCACCGTCGCCCACGCTTCCCCCCACCGTCGCCCACGCTTCCCCCCACCGTCACCCACGCTTCCCCCCACCGTCGCCCACGCTTCCCTCCACCGTCGCCCACGCTTCCCCCCACCGTCGCCCCCGCTTCCCCCCACCGTCGCCCACGCTTCCCCCCACCGTCACCCACGCTTCCCCCCACCGTCGCCCACGCTTCCCCCCACCGTCGCCCACGCTTCCCCCCACTGTCGCCCACGCTTCCCCCCACCGTCGCCCACGCTTCTCCCCACCGTCGCCCACCGTCACCGTCGCCCACCGCCACCGTCGCCCACCGCCACTGTCGCCCACGCTTGCCCTCCCATCGTCCTCGCTTAGCCTTCCCGCCGACCTCCCTTCTCTCCTCCTCTCTCCACGTCGTCATCACTCCCCTGCCCATCACGTTCCCCCTATTCACCATCGCTTCTCTACCCATGCCGGCCACCCTCTCATCCCTTCCCATCGCGTGGGGTGTGGGAGGGTGCGTGGTCAGCAGCACCCTTCCGTCGCATACACGTTCATTCATTACCCCTTCCCTCATCTCCCCATCCCTCATCTCCCCTTCCCTCATCTCCCCATCCCTCACCTCCTCATCCCTCACCTCCCCATCCCTCTCCTCCCCAGCCCTCTCCTCCCCATCCCACACCTCCCCATCCCTCATCTCCTCATCCCTCATCTCCCCATCCCTCATCTCCCCAATCCGCCTCACCCCATTCCGCCCCGCCCCACCCCATTCCGCCCCACCCCTTTCTGCCCCACTCCATTCCGCCCCACCCCTTTCTGGCCCACCCCATTCCGCCCCACCCCAGCCTCCTCCCCAGCCTCCTCCCCACCCTCCTCCCCAGCCTCCTCCCCACCCTCCTCCCCACCCTCCTCCCCACCCTCCTCCCCACCCTCCTCCCCACCCTCCTCCTCACCCTCCTCCCCACCCTCCTCCCCACCCTCCTCCCCACCCTCCTCCCCACCCTCCTCCCCAGCCTCTCTTCCTCCCCTCCCTTCTGCTTCTCCCCCAAGCGTCCTCCCTACCTCCCTTCCTCCCATCATCACTTCCTCCCTTCCTTCATTCCTGCATTCCTCACTTCCTCCCTTCCTCCGTTCCTCCCTTCCTCATTTGTCAGTTGTCATTCCCTTATACTTCAGCCACGTCACATCTGACTTCTTGATTTGTGTTTGGACAGGTCTGCTCTGCATCTGGTTATGCATGTGCTAGCTGTCTGATAGTAACACACGTATAGCCATGCCATATATTGGATTCATTATTTATAATACAGGATTATGAGCCTCAGAGCAATCATACACATGACCAATACCAAGGAGTTCAACAATTAATATATTACCGTATCTGTAAAGTAAGGGGAATCACCAGACTCGAGAAGGGAACAAAGCTAGGGGGTGTATGTGTAATGTTGTTTTCCGGTTTTGTCTGCTACACTGCAAGCAATAAACCAGGCCGTGGTAAAGCCACATCTGGTGTTGAGCACCTGTAACTGCATTGGGGGGTATGGGGGTGAGTGAAGGGGGAAAGACAGTAAACGGAATGAGCAGAGGGGAAGAGAAGAAGCAGCGGGGGACAGATTGAACAGAGGGGAAGAGAGGAAGCAGGGGGGAACAGAGTGAGCAGAAGTAAAGAGAGTGAGCAAGGGGGAAGAGAGTGAGCAGAGAAGAAGGGGAGGGAGCAAGGGTGAAACAGAGGGAGCAGGGGTGAGCAGGGAAGGCGATAGGGGGAAGCAGGGAAGGAGATAGGGGGAAGCAGGGAAGCGGATGGGGGGGAGCAGGGAAGGGGATGGGGGTGAGCAGGGAAGCGGATGGGGGGATGCTGGGAGGGGGACGGGGGAAGGAGGGAAGGGGACGGGGGGAAGCAGGGAAGTGGAAGGGGGAAAGCAGGGAAGGGGATGGGGGGGAGCAGGGAAGGGGTTGGGGGGAAGCAGGGAAGGGGATGGGGGGAGCAAGTCGGAGGATGGGGGGGAGCAGCGCAGGGGATACGAGGAAACAGGGAAGAAGGGAAGGGTGTATGTGCGGGTTGGAAAGGGGGCGTGACAAGTGTGCGAGATGGGAAGGGAGAAGGGAGGGATGGCGAGGGCAACGAGGAGTGGAAGGGAGGGCGACGGGGAAAACGAGGGCGACGGGGGGAGAGAGAGACGGGGATTGCGAGGGGACGAGCGCGAGACGAAGGGGGGCAACGGGCGGAAGGGAGGGAAAGAGAGCGTGAAGGGGGAAAGAGAGTGAGAAGGGGGGAAAGAGAGTGAGCAAGGGGAAAGAGAGTGAGCAGGGGGGGAAGAGAGTGAGCAGGGGGGGAGAGAGTGAGTATAGGCGTGAGTTGGGAAAACAGGGGCGAGCAGAGGGGGTAAGAGAGCGTGAAGGGGGAAAATGGGTGAGAAATGGGGAAATTGGGGTTAGAACAAGGGGAGTGAGCAGAGGGAAAGAGAATGAGGAGGGGGGAAGCGAGTGAGCAGGGGGAAAGAGATTGAGGAGGGGGGAAGCGAGTGAGCACGGGGGAAGAGAGTGAGCAGGGGGGAAGAGAGTGAGCAGGGGGGAAGAGAGTGAGCAGGGGGGAAGAGAGTGGGAAGAGAGTGAGCAGGGGGGAAGAGATTGAGGAGGGGGGAAGCGAGTGAGTAGGGGGGAAGAGAGTGAGCAGGGGGGAAGAGAGTGAGCAGGGGGAAAGAGAGTGAGCAGGGGGGAAGAGAGTGAGCAGGGGGAAAGAGATTGAGCAGGAGAGAGTGAAAGGCAATGGGAGGGGAAGTGAAGGTGACGGGTGGGGAAGCGAGTGTGACGGGAGGGGGAAGTGAAGGCGACGGGAGGGGGAAGTGTAGTGTCACCGAATAGATTGTTGTTAGCAATATATTCAGTTACTCGCTAGTGTAGGTGTAGTAGGATTATTCGAAGCACTGTAGAAGGTGAGTTTGGTGCGTGGGTAGTGACGCGAAGTAGTGGCTGAGGCAGAGCAGGTAAGGTATCACAGGAACAGAGCTCAGAAGAAGAAGGGAGCGAGGGTGAGTCCAGGAAGGAGAAGGCAAGCCACGGGATGCAACAGAGGATGATTCTCCGACAGTAGGCGACGGGAGGGGGAAGTGAAGGCGACGGGAGGGGGAAATGAAGGCGACGGGAGGGGGAAATGAAGGCGACGGGAGGGGGAAACGAAGGCGACGGGAGGGGGAATTGAAGGCGACGGGAGGGGGAAGTGAAGGCGACGGGAGGGGGAAGTGAAGGCGACGGGAGGGGGAAATGAAGGCAACGGAAGATGTCAAACATTATACATGTTCATATTGTGTAGGCTATAGTGGGTTTAGCCTTAGGGGGTACAACATTGCTAGGGTTTCCTACTTGTATCACCCTGCTGCCTAGTTTCACACATTCTCGTTCAGTTCTACATTCTAACATGGTATCACAAGCCTAGGTTGCTACCTAGGACCGCTTTCTCCTACGGGCCCACTATTCCGCTAGACGCGCCCTCGTGCGTCCTACCTTACGTGCGCCCTCGTGCGCCTTTCTATACTCGTACGCCCTCGTGCGCCCTCGTGCGCCCTCGTGCGCCCTCGTGCGCCCTACCTTACGTGCGCCCTCGTGCGCCCCCGTGCGACCCGCCCTTCGGTCTGCCCATGTGCCGTCCTGCAGCCCTTGCGCTGCCTCCTGCAAGCTAGTACGGCCCTCGAGCCGCCCCTGCAGGTCCGTCAGGCCCCCGAGCCGCCTCTGCAGACCCGTCAGGCCCCCCCGAGCCGCCTCTGCAGGCCCGTCAGGCCCGAGAGCCGCCCCTGCAGCCAGCGCGCTGCCCTGCCGAGCCGCGTGTCGCCCGTGGGCGCTGCCTCTGCCCCGTCGCGCTGCCCTGGGGAGCCGCGCGCGACCCCCGCTGTCCCGTCGCGTCGCCCTGGGGAGCCGCGCTCGGCCCCCGCTGCCCCGTCGCGACGCCCTGGGGAGCCGCGCTCGGCCCCCGCTGCCCCGTCGCGATGCCCTGGGGAGCCGCGCTCGGCCCCCGCTGCCCTGTCGTGACGTCCTGGGGAGCCGCGCTCGGCCCCCGCTGACCCGTCGCGACGCCCTAGGGAGCCACGCGCGACCCCCCCGCTGCCCCGTCGCGACGCCCTGGGGAGCAGCGCGCCCCCCCCCCCCCCCCCCCCCCCCCCGCTGCCCCGTCGCGGCGCCCTGGGGAGTCGCGCGCCGCCCCCCCCCCCCCCCCCCCTCGCTGCTGCCCGAGCCACCCTGCAGCCCGCGAGCCGCCTCTGCAGCGCCGAGTGCGCTCTGCCAAACCCTAAAATAAATCATTAATTATTAAAAAAAAAAAAAAAAAAAAAGGGGAGCAGCTGCCCCTGGCCCCTGGAGCAGCCGCCCCTGCAGCAGCCGCCCCTGCAGCAGCCGCCCCTGCAGCAGCCGCCCCTGGACCTCTGCAGCCGCCCCTGGCCCCTGGAGCAGCCGCCCCTGCAGCTGCCGCGGAGCCCTCGCCCTGCAGTGGTAGCGGCCTCGCCGTTACCACCGTCGTACGCCTGCCCTTCTCGCCACTGGTGAGCACTGCCCTGCCCGTATTGCTGTTACTGCTGCTCCTGCTGCTACTGCTCTTTCTACTTCTACTGCTGCTCCTGGCGTGGCCAGATGCAGCTCCAGCGCCGTCCGCGTGAGTCCCTCACGCCCCAACAGCTTCGTGAGTGGTATGCTGGTTGGGGTTGTAGGGGTGGCCTCGCTGCTGCTACTACTACTGCTGCTACTACTGCTACTGCTGCTCCTGGCGGTGGCCAGATGCAGCTCCCGCGACGTCCGAGTGAGTCCCTCACGCCCCAGCAGCTTCGTGAGTGGTACGCTCAGCGTGGAGGGTCACGGGGTACTGCTCGCTGCCCGTACGTCATTCGCACTGGTGCTCGGACTGGTCAGCCTTGCGGGACGTTTGGTCACACAGAGTCCCGCTGCTTCGCCCGTCTGAGCGACGCCTGGCGTACAGAGTTTGGCGACGCGGCTGAGCTCCCCGACTGGGTGGAGCTGCTTAGGCAGAGGGTAGATATCTATGCTCTTGACTATGATGCTATCCTCACTGCCATGTATGCATTTCCTACTAGTGCTGAGAGTGCCTGTCACCTGTGTGTGCCGCCTGACCCCGGTATCCAGTCTGCTGCTCTAGGTACTGGTGAGGCTGCTGCACTAGGTGCTCGTGTGTCTGTTGCCCCAGGTGCTGGTGAGGCTGCTGCTCTAGGTACTCGTGAGTCTGCGCCCTCTGGTACTGCGTCTACTGAGGCACTGCACACCTTCACACTGGACTCAGGCGCTTCCCGCTGTTTCTTTCGTGACCGCACTGCCCTTGAGCAGCTTGCTCGGCCGGTTGCAGTCTCCCTCGCTGACCCCTCTGGGGGTCCGGTCATTGCGACCTCCTCTACTGTTCTCCCTTGTCCTGCGGTCCCGTCGGGCACTCTGTCAGGTCTCTACCTCCCCTCGTTCTCTACAAACTTGGTGGCGGGTAGTGCGCTCCAGGATGGGGGTGTCCACCAGTTTACCCCTGCCTACGAGCGTGTGACACACTGCACGTGCGCTCGGACGGGCCGCCACCTGGCTACCTTCACTCGGCAGCCGGGGTCGGACCTGTACACACTGACCACTGAGTCCCCACAGGTAGCTGCGTCTGCGTCTGCGTCAGGTCAGCTGTCTGCCCCCTGCTCGTGTCGCTCTCTGGCACACGAGACTGTCCTCTGGCACCACCGTCTTGGTCACCCGTCAGTGCAGCGCCTTCGTGCCATGCACAACCGGTACCTTGTCTCTGGTCTTCCCAGGGTTCTCCCTCCACTCCCACCCTCGCCTGCTCCTCCCTGCCTTCCCTGTGTCGAGGGGCGGCAGCGCGCCGCTCCTCACTCCTCCTCGTTTCCCCCGACGACTGCTCCCTTGCAGACGCTCCACATGGACGTGTGGGGCCCAGCCCGCGTCCGTGGACAGGGTCAGGAGAGGTACTTCCTGATCGTTGTTGACGACTACTCGCGCTACACCACGGTCTTCCCCTTGCGCACCAAGGGTGAGGTCCCTGATGTTTTGATCCCTTGGATCCGCGCTTCTCGTCTCCAGCTCAGTGAGCGGTTCCACTCGGACTTTCCTGTCCTGCGTCTGCACTCTGACAGAGGTGGTGAGTTCTCCTCTGACCTCTTGGCAGCCTACTGTGCAGAGCACGGCATCCGCCAGTCGTTCACGCTTCCGGCCTCTCCACAGCAGAATGGGGTTGCTGAGCGCCGCATTGGTTTGGTCATGGAGGTTGCTCGTACCTCCTTGATCCATGCGGCTGCCCCCCACTTTCTGTGGCCGTTTGCGGTCCGATACGCTGCGCATCAGCTCAACCTCTGGCCCCGTGTCTCCGTTCCGGAGACTTCGCCGACACTGCGTTGGACGGGAGAGGTTGGCAATGCGTCGCGTTTTCGGGTCTGGGGATCCCGAGCTTTTGTTCGCGATACGTTCGCGGACAAGCTCTCCTCCCGCGCTGTTCCCTGGGTCTTTCTTGGCTTTGTCCCGGACGCGTCTGGTTGGCAGTTTTACCACGCCACCTCGCGCCGTGTCCTGCCCTCTCAGGACGTCACTTTTGACGAGTCCGTGCCCTACTACCGCCTCTTCCCCTACCGCACTGCCCCGCTCCCCCCCCCGCCTCTCTTCCTCGCGCCAGGTGCTGCTGTGGTAGACCCCCTCCCCCCTCAGGGTGCCGCTCCCTCAGGTGTGTCCCAGGTAGACCCGGTTGAGCCTGTCGAGGTAGCTGTCGACTCTCGTCCTGCCAGGGGTGCTGAGCCTGAGCGTGCGGAGCCTGGGGTTGCGGAGTCTGGGGGTGCTGAGCCTGGGGGTGCGGGGTCTGGGGGTGCGGAGCCTGCGGGTGCTGAGTCTGGGGGTGCTGAGCTTGGGGGTGCGGAGCCTGCGGGTGCTGAGTCTGGAGGTGCTGAGCCTGGGGGTGCTGAGCCTGGGAGTGCTACGTCTGAGAGTACTGAGCCTGAGCGTGCTGCACCTGGGGGAGGCCTCTCCTCGCAGCAGCTGCGTGAGTGGTACTTACAGTACTGCAGCCTCAGGAGAGGTGCTTCTGGAGCTCGGAGTGGTGCCGGAGCTGGTGCTAGTGCTTCCCCTCCTAGGCGGGAGCTGCCCTCTCCCCAGCAGCTCCGAGAGTGGTACGCTAGGCGCTGCAGTCTCCGGAGTGGCGCTCCCGGTGTCGTGGACTCTGGAGCTTCTAGAGTTACTGGAGGTGCTGCTGCTGCTGGCGGTGCGGCTGGCGCTGCTAGAGGTGCTACTGGTGCTGCTGGAGCTGCTGGAGGTACTGCTGCTGCTGGAGGTGCTGCTGGCGCTGCTGGAGGTACTACTGGTTCTGGTGCTGCTGGAGCTGCTGGAGGTGCTGCTGCTGCTGGCGGTGCGGCTGGCGCTGCTGGAGGTGCTGCTGGTGCTGCTGGCGCTGCTGGAGGTGCTACTGGTGCTGGAGCTACTGGAGCTGCTGGTGGTACTGCTGCTGCTGGCGGTGCTGCTGGCGCTGCTGGAGGTGCTGCTGGTACTGGTGCTGCTGGAGCTGCTGGAGGTGCTGCTGCTGCTGGTGGTGCTGCTGGCACTGCTGGAGGTGCTGCTGGTACTGGAGCTGCTGGGGACCCTGCTGCTGCTGGCGGTGCTGCTGGAGCTGCTGGGTCTTACAGGGCAGCCTGCACGAGGAGATCTGGCTGCGCCGCCCACCTGGCTTCACTGGGTCGTTCCCTCCTGGTACCCAGTGGAGCCTCCGGCGGCCAGTCTACGGTCTCCGCCAGGCACCCCGTGAGTGGCACGACACACTGAGGACTACTCTTGCTGCTCTTGGGTTTGCTCCTTCTACTGCTGACCCGTCGCTGTTTCTACGCACCGACACCACTCTGCTGCCGTTCTACGTTCTTGTTTACGTAGACGACTTGGTCTTTGCTACTGCTGACACTGAGGCACTCGCCCACGTGAAGTCGGAGCTGCAGAAGAGACACACGTGCACAGACCTGGGTGAGCTGACAAGCTATCTTGGCTTGCGGATCACCCGGGACAGAGCACAGCGCACCATCACCTTGACTCAGTCACACATGGTGCAGCAGGTCCTTCAGCGCTTCCGCTTCACGTACTCCTCGCCTCAGCCCACTCCTCTGCCTACCGGTCACTCGCTCTCAGCTCTGCCTTCGGATGAGTCCGTAGAGCCGAGTGGCCCGTATCCAGAGCTTGTGGGCTGCCTCATGTACCTGATGACCTGCACTCGACCTGACCTGGCATACCCTCTTAGCATCCTAGCACGCTATGTCGCTCCCGGCCGTCACCGTAAG